CCCATGGATGCATCTATGGAATGTGGCTCTATGCTCTGAAATAAACACATCTATCCTCCTTTTTGTCCATTATTAATAACAGAAACTATAGTTTTATAGAATGCATCCATCTATGAACGCACTTGAGAGTGAATGTGTGGTGGCTGCGGTGGTTGTAAATTGATCCCTCCTACTCTCCCCTGGTTTGCTGTGCAGAGGAGGGGTGAGGAGGAGGAGGAGGAGGAGGAGGAGGAAGAAGAGGAGGAGGGAACTGGAGCAGGAAGGAAGACGGGCAGGGAAGCCAGGCGCTGAATGCTAACAAGCTCCTCTGTAACCATTAATGCTCCATAGGCTCGGCTTTCACCAAACATATGGGATTAAAAAGGACCCCACGAGCGCTAATTGAGTCCTAATATGCGGCAGTGCCGCGTTCGCCCCGCGCGCGTGCAGCAGTCTCGCGAACGTCGGCACCTTTGATCCGTAAAAAAAAAAAAAAAACGTCCTTTTTTTTCTTTCTTTTTTTTTCTCCCGCTGAGTGAAATGTATGGAGATTGCTCGAGCCTGACGTTCTGACAATGGAGATTGAAAACATCGTGGCCAACACGGTTCTCCTGAAGGCGAGAGAAGGTAAGCGAAAAAAGACACCCCCCCCACCCCCCCCCCCAAAAAAAAAGAAATCAGAATCTGTATCCCGAACATCTACAAGAAGAACCACAACCTTCCCCAAAAAGGCTGTCTGTCTGTCTGTGTTGTGTTTTTCTCCCATCACTGCGCAGTGCTGCTGTCTCCAGGCAAACATCTTCAGATGAAATCATTTGGGGGGGGGGGGGTTGCAGCATCGCCTTGCATTGGAGGCTGTGGAGCTCATTTATTTCCCTCAAATACCTCTGGCTTATTTACTGCATTAGTGCATGTAAATGTTCTCAGGCTGTGCAGATATTCTCCTGCCTCCCTCATCAGGAAAGGAAAGCAGAGGGACTGAGGGCTGCATTTTGCCGCAGACATCTATTTGGCTGCAATGCTGCTGATTAGGAAACAGGAACGCAGCGATGCTTTCTCACCTGTAAGCAAGGATCCCTCTGTTTCTAACACAGGATGGTTTATACTGCACAGTAGATCTGCTTTATAGGTAAAGGCCTTCAGTGCTTGACTTGATTTCTAATGATTTCATGACCAAAGCAAACAGTGAAATGGATCAGGGCCCTCTTCTTATTGCATATGGCATCAGGCCTTTTCCTTTTTTTTTTCTCTCCCCCCCTGAATGCTGCTTGGACCTGACATCACTGGCTCAATACTTGACAGAGAGCATGAATGTTGCAGCAGCATTAATTGCTGCTTTCTTTGTTACCAGTTGACAACTATAAAGGCTGTTCAAGATCACAGGAGGATTTTAAAGCCTTGATTCTCATAAATCAGCTGCAGAATAGGGGGGCTTCTCAGCTGGACTGGTCAAGAACCCAAAAACACCATTTATATTTAAAGAATGAACCACCAAGGTGGTCTGTTTCATACCTCCAAGTGCACTCAACCTTAAAGCATGGATGGCGTCCATCCCTGTAAACAATATAGATGCATCCTACTGAGGAAAATATGCAGTTGATGCTTTTTGCTAAAACTAACAATACAGGTCCTTCTCAAAATATTACCTTATTGTGATAAAGTTCATTATTTTCCGTAATGTAATGATAAAATTTGAACATTCATATATTTTAGATTCATTGCACACTAATGCACACTAATAATTACTTGAAGGTTGAAGTTTTAGGTATAGGTAAAGAACACTTTTAGTTTATTGGTTTGATGAAATATGCTAATTTTGTGAGATAGGAATTTTGAGCTGTATGCCAAAATAATCTGTATTAAGACAATGAAAGACCTGAAATATTTCAGTTATGGTGCAATCAATCGAAAATATGTGAATGTTCAAGTTTTATCATTACATTATGGAAAATAATGAACTTTATCACAATATGGTAATATTTTGAGAAGGACCTGTATTTCTGGTTAACCCTGCTCTCCAGACTCTGGAAGGATGAATAAAAGGACAGCTCAGACTGCAGTGTTTGATTTTTTTTTATAAATCCAGTATGGATTAATCTGCTAGCCTGATAAACCAGACTAAATGTGAGATTAAATGTGTGATTCAGTCCGGCCCAGATGAATGAGACATCGGAAGATTGTTGATGAGAAAAACCCGTTGTCTTTCAAACCATGTTTGTGCCTATTGGCCAACGCTCTGACCAATGAGAACAACTGACTGTGAAGTAGGAAGTGCGACAGGAAGCTGATGGGCAAGTGTAAATAAACAGCCTGTCGGTAAAACGGCGAATATGTCGTTATTAAAAATAAATGAGCGTAGAGCCCCTTCCTGCTCTCGTTTCAACGAAAACCCCAAGTCTAATCCTTACAAAACGGATTACAAAGCTGAGTCAAACCAGAAATGTTCAATAGTTGTTGCCATCTTCCTTGTTGTGCAGCTTTGTCGTCCCGCCCTCAAAACCCCGCCCGCTTTGAATCCAGAAATTCAAAACACATCTCTGCGTTGTGATTGGCCCGCCAGTTCTAGGGCCTGGGGCATTTATCGAGGCTAGACCACTCCCAGGCAAAAATGATTTTAGCCGCTGGCGGGTGGGGCTAGCTTACTAGGCTATTAATCTGGTGTTCTCCCTATATGGTTAACTTCGACTTTGTCATTTTGTTCAAACAGGGTGCATACAATACGAAATTTCGTTCTGTACAGCTCTCAAGACATTTCCATTTATTAAAGTGGAAAGTTCTTGAGACAAAATGGGGAACATTGTGATCAAATGTAAACATGAGACTAAGAGATATGATTTACAGTTTCTCCAACATTCATCTTTTTTAATGTTATATTCAACATTCAGCAGTCTAATGGCAATAGGAAAGAAGCTGTTTTGGAATCTGCTGATGGACATCAAGGATAAACAAACTACTCTGATATTCTCTTGGGGGGGGGGGTTGCTTTACTGTTTCTTTTTTAGTATTTGGTGGTTTCTTCTCTTGAGAAGCTGTGGCTGAAAAAGGTCTATATCTGGGTTAATCACAGATAGTTTTATAGAATTTACATGCATTGGTGTTCATGGACAGTGAGGTATATTAAGGCCTTTGAGCAATAGCCCCTTCAGTGTAGAATAGGGTTGAATATTCTTCATATTATTTATCGTTACGAGGATTAGTTGCTGATAATAATTTAGATTTATCATCTAAATGATAAATTAGAATCAATGATGAATAATAAATCCAGAAACTGGGTGAATTGTCCAAATTATTATTTTTTTTTTTACTTGTTTTGCTTGTTTCATTTTTTTCCCCATTGAACATTTTTAAAGAAAATGATTAAATGTGGTTACTACGAAATGTTTAGTGATATAAATCATGCTCATTTTCAAAATTATGTCCTGAAGAAGCCAAATTGAAATGAGAATATTCTTTAAGAGTATTATTGTTATTATGATTGTGGGGCTATGATGGCTGTAAGCGGTCACAGCCATGCAGTTAGCTGAAAAAGACATTTGTTTTTTAAGCTAATATTTCTAAAATATTGGAGTCTTATAAACATTGCTAAATAATTCTCAACAGTTTGTACATGTATTTATTGTGGGCATTCATTTTGTTTAGAGCAAGACTTTTAAATTATATAATGTGGTAAAAAAAAAAGCAATACTATTGTTAAATGTTGGAAATGCAGTGGTTCATAAATCCCTCTTCTGCAAAAATATCAGACTATTTTAGTTGTTTAATAAAACCACTCCATGCTTACATTATGGTTGCAAAGAATCTGTTTAATTTTGTGTTTATTTTATTATTATTTTTATGGCATATAAACTTTTGACTTGACATTTCTGGCCTGTGTTACAGAGAAGTTAGACACCATTAGCATTGTGTTTCCAAAAGTTAGGATTTTTATTCAAATAGTCGTGGTTGAGGTGCAGAGATATATATTTTTTAAGGCTGATACACATAATTTTAAGATCAGTCTCACAGATCCCTGACATGTGCTGCTGTGTTGTTGTTTTTTTGGTTAATTCTTCAGGCTAATATTGCTTCCTCTTCCTCCATTTACATCATAAAAAGAACACAAGGATAAATAATGTTATACAGGCCTCAATAAAAAAAAAAAAATCAAAATCAAACCTTTATTAATAAATCAAAGAAAACAATCAATAGAACGCATGCACCTCTCATAATTTCAAAGCATGGCTGCTGAATGCACGAGTGAATCTACCAAAATATACAATATCCGCCGATACCAATTGGTGAAGAAAAAAAGGTGATATTGACCCAAAACCTCCACCGGCCAATGGCGATGCATCGCTGCATGTATAGGGTTGAGGTCTGCTTCAGAAATCAAAGGACACAACTAACAAAAAAATATTAATTCTATAGATATTACAACATAAAAATAATATAAGAAATGATTAAATATGATCATTCTGGGCACGGTGGTGATGCAGGGGTTAAGAGTTCAACCCATGACCAGAAGCTTTAGACTTCCAGCATGTCTTTCCCCTCTCTCTCTAATCCCATTTCTTTCGTTCCGACTTTTAAAAAGTACAAAAATAAATGCCAGTTCTGCCTAAAAATAATTATAAAAAGAGGCAGAAACCAAAAAATTAGAAACTCTACCTTTTGAATCCACAGCAACAGAACACTGAGTCTTTCTTTACCTTTAGCATTTCCAGCAAACATCTCCTCCCTTGAACTGATTCTTTTTCCTAAAGCTGGTTGCTCGGGGTCCAAGGCAGCGAATTAGATGTCTATATCATGCGTCCTTCAGCCTGTCGAGTCTCAGACGTCATTAAAGACAGTTGGCTTATCACAAGGCAGGGAAGGTTTGGGAACAATATTCCCCAAATTTACTCTGTTTAAACCATTTATTTTTTTTTTGTGTGGAAATTCTAAAAAAAAAAAAAAAAGAGCAGCTGAGAGCCATGAGAGACAAGGCCGCCGACCTCTGCTGTATCTGATGGAGCTGAAGCAATCCAAAGCTCATGTGGAAAAAATCTGTAAAAATGTTCTCTCATGAGAAAACACTAAAACTGAACTTTTTAGCCCCAAGTGCAGAACAATATAGCATCATGCTGTGGGGGCACCAGTTGGTTAAAGGCTGGAAAGAGGATTCTGAGGTGGAAGGTATGTCCAGCAGATGTTTGTGTATTTCTGAATCATGCGTCAGTGCCCCCTCCTCCTCCCCGCCACTAGTAAGAACTGAAGAAGCCTCTTGGATGAAATGTCTTCTAGAAAACTCAACACCCAGTGGCGTAGACTGAACTTCGTCAAACCCCCCCTCAGACGGTAATTTTATATTTCACCTAGAGAGGCAGCAAAGTGCCAGGATGCAACTAGTTTGCAGGAAATCTCCATAAGAAGAAAAGGTCTCTGCTGACGTTTTCACAGCAAGATGTGTTTGTAATTTGTTCTCGCTGCTGCATGTTTCATAAAAAAAAAAAAAAAAATACAGTAATTACTACAGAATTAAATGTAATTTACCTGTCCAACAGAAGTTTTGCAACCAAAGCATCCATTTTTAGACCCTTTTGCTCCTTCAGGGCACGCCATCTCTGAAAAGAATCTCCCAAACACACACTTAGCCAGCTCTGTTCTCT